TTCTGCGGTATCCAGGGTTTTAATGAGCTCAAAAGATTCACTTTGAGGTTCCTGATGGGGTTCCAAAGAGGGGGTTCCCCAGATGGGTAGGTTTGATGGAGGATATGGTGAAAGGGGAGAAGCAAGGGACGTGGGGCAGGGGCAGCCTGCCTGGGTGTGGAACCTGTGCGCACTCAAACCTATTGTGCTTGGTTCAAATCAAGACCTACTTATGGATGGATGGACTGATTCATTCATTCTTTATAAGGCTTTCTTTAACCCCATCAGCCCAAAGCCCTTACCTTCTCTGACTTTCTGGGGCCCTTACTTGTAGCCTCACTGCCGTGTCTTGTGACCTCTCCTTCTATCCCTTGCTGCCCCTGGCTGTTCCCCAGATGGTGCCATACCTGCTGTTTCATGCCCAGGCTCGCTTTGTGTCCTCTCACTGGAAGGCCTTTCCTTTCTTTCTCCACCTCCAAAAGCTCTGGGTGTGGCTTAAGGGCCTGATCAGAAGCCGCCTCCTCCAGGAAGTCTTCCCAGGCTTCTAATTTAAAGCTTTCTCTCCCTGTGCTCCCTCTATGACCATTTAGCATCCTTCAGTGTCTTCCCATGGATATAAGACAAAACCCTTGGCTTAGCTCCCCAGCATTGCCTCTCATCATCGCCCACCCTACCACCCACTTCCAGGTAGGCTAGGTGTCTCCTACCTCCTCCATTCAGGACTTACGCTGCTTCTCCTGTCTGGGAAGACTTCCCTGCCCTGTCTCCTTGGTGAGGATGCTTAAGGACTCTAAGATTCAGCTCATGTCTCTATACTGGTCAGAGTTTATCAGCCTTGCCTTTTGGTCTGTATTCTCTGCTTTGCCGTGAGCCAGTCTCATGCATGAGTCTGGTGACCCTGGGTTATGTGTCTCTGAGGTCATCGTGTCTTGCATGGGGCCTGGCACATAGCAGGTGCTCAATAAATGTGATATTGGAGGGAATTCTGTTTGTGCAGCACAGCGCCCAGCAGAAGCTGGAACCCAAGCTGTTATGTTGATGGGATCTTGATTCAAAGCTTTGTTTGCAGCAGCCTTGGGTTCTGGGATGGAGCCTTGGGGCTGCCAGAGCTGGGGAAATGGTTCCTATAGCGAAGGGGTGTGTGTGTGTGTGTGTGTGTGTGTGTGTGTGTGTGTGTGTGTGTGTGTTTGTTCTCTGGGGTCTTAGTGGTCTGTCATGCATGCAGGAAGCTTCAGTTCCCCAGGATCTCATGCCTCTCTGCTGACATCCTTTCCTCCTGGGCACCAGGCCACCAGCCCACCAACTCCAGAGTCAATAGCAGGGAGGCTCCTGGAGGGCCCGGCAGAGTCCTGTAAAGAGGCAATGTTTTGCAGTAGACCAGCATGCGGCCTTGAAGCTGCTCTGGGCAGCTTTGGGCAGGTCTGACACCTCCCATTCTCTGGGCTAATTACTCATGCAAGGCTTCCCACATGCCAGGTCCTGGGCAAAGCTCCTGTGTGGAGGATCTGACTTAATCTTCATAACCATCTTAGCTTGCAGAGGGGAAACTGAGGCATGGAGAGGTTAAGTTACTTGTCTTAGATCAAACAGCCGTTGAAAGAAGAGCAGGGAGGTGAAGTGAAGCAGCCTTCGCCCATAGCCCATGCTCTTGGAGTGCTGTGCCCTGCTCCCTCTCATAAAATAATGCCTCCTTGAGGGCATTGAATTAATGTAAATAAATGACATGTAGGATGTGCCCCATAGCAGGCATGCAATCAGTGGGGCTGATATTGTTGGTCTCTTATTCAACCCTTTCATTTTTAAAAAGCTTAGGCATGATTTCTGTAAGTGACTTGATAACCACATTGAGGGTTGGCTGACCTCAAAGTCACTTCTCCTGATGGCCCACTGTTTTCATTTTTCATTATGTTGTGCCCTGTGAGGTAAAATGTAGAAGGAAAGAGCATCTAACACTTTTAAGGAATTGGGGCAGAGAGGGAGGTAGGATGTGAAGGCAGCTGAGGTTGTGAGGAGCCAGGCCCTTCCCAATATTTTCCCCAACCACCAATGAGACAAGTCCTATTGTCCCAATTTGCAGTTTTGCAGATCTGATCTTAGAGGAATGGGTGACTTACGTGCGGCTGTTAGCTGGTGAGAGAGCAAGCAGGAATTGAACTCAGGCCTGTCTTACCCCAAGTCTAGTGCTGTCTTCTGCATTGCCAGCCCAGAAGTGAGGCCCGAGATCAAGGTCAGGGTAGCCACAGCTGTGATTGTCAGTTATAACGGGGGGCGGGCAGGCTGCTGATATTATTCCTTCAGACTATCAGGAAAGCTCGTGGAGAGAGGGGAGGAGACAGCGTGGGGAGCAGTGTGCCCCAGAAGAAGAGATAGCTCTTGAAATGAGAAGCAGCTGGATTTTTCCTTGGAGTACTGAAGGGGGCCAAAAGGAACCATTTGGTCTTTGTGCATCCATATAGCCTCTTGGGCCACTTTGTCTAGTAGGGTGACTTTCAAAGAACTGAGACTAACCTACAGGTTTGAGGGTTGTATGCTAGCAATAGTTGTAGGAAGTGTCTTGGAAATCTTGTTTTATTTTAAAACTTCCTACAGAATTTGCCTTCTTCCCCAGAATATGTCCACATGTGCAAATGGAATGGATGGATCTAGCAACACCAGCCTAGCTGATCAACCTAGATGGGGGTATGCCAAGGGACTCTGTCTTTGGCCACATCTTACTCAACACTTTAATCGATGACTAGAATGGAAGTACAGATGGAGGGAGAGAATGAACATTTATTGAGAATATCCTGTGTCAGCAAACACTGCAAGTATTTTACATACATTATTTATAGATTATTTCATTTACTCCCCATGGCATCCCATTAAGACGGGTTGTATTACCCTTTTATAGACCAAGGGAGGGTGAGTGACTTGCCCAAGGTCCCACAGCCATTGCTGGAATAAGATCTGGAACCCAGGTAGGTCTCACTCCAAAAGCTGGGGCACTTACTCACACATAGCACTGAAACGCCTGGTCCCTGAGGGGCAGGTGGGAAGGTGGGACGGATGGATAAGGCAGGGAAAGTGAGAGGCAGGATCCCAAAAGGCCACAACAGGGCTGAAATTAACACTGGGCCCAGATTAATGCATAGCAAGATAAACGACAATAGAGACCTTTGCTTGCCCTGGGGTTCAGAATACCCACCAGACACATACAGGATGTGGGATCCCTGGGTCAACAGCACAAGTGAAAGATGTTGGGGTTTTAGTTGACAGGAAGTCTAATATGAGTCAACAGTGGGAGGAAGCAGCTAGCAAAGCTAGTTACTCTAGCCTCCACAGTGGAGGTACAAGGAGCAAAGTCGGGGGGAGGAGATGCTCCCAGGTCAGCTTGTACCCAGGAAGTGGAACTCAGGCCTGGAAATCGCAGAGGGAAAGGGGCACCGGCAGCCTGCGGGGGATGAAAAGGGGCTCCTCACTGCTGCTGGGGCTGCATCACTCTCTTCATCTTTTGTCATTATCAAAGTACATTAACATATTTCTGAGCAATTATAGCCCCTTCTTGACTCTTACGCATTACGCATTTGCCTTATCTGCTTTGGGAATACGCCCCTCACTCAGTTTTGATTTTTTTATTAATGTAGCCTGAGGAAATGTGGGGATTCCTTGTGACCTACTCTCTACATTCACATTCAAAAAAGCATGATCAGCGAGCAGAAGAAAGTAAGAGATTGTCAGTCTTCCTGCACACCTCAGAGAGGGGAGCGGGATGAGGTCCCCTTTCACTTCTCTCTCATTATCTTGTGCTTCAAATCTTCCCTAGAGCCTTTCACTCTACAACCCCCCCCCCCCCCCCCAACCCGCAAACATCCCTATAGCCAATCGACCTGACACAGCAGCTCTTTTTGTCCTTCCGCATCTCCATTATATAGACGGACTCAACATCTGTATCTTCTTTTTCTTGTCCCTCCTTCCCTTCCCCCACATCATTCTTCTTTAGTCTTCTTAACTGACCCCAATTCCTCCCTACAAAGGGGGACTCTGGAACTGATTCAACAAGTCAAGATACTCCCCCTTCCTCTAACCGCTCCAGTGCTGCCTGCCCCTCTCTGCCCTCCCAGGAACTGGGATGACCAAGATAGAACTCTTCTTAAGGAGCTTGATGAGGAGAAGCAGAGCAGGCAAGGACTACATTTTTGGTGGTGGTGGTGTGGGTGGCAAACGTGGTGATGGGGGGATGGTGGTGAGGAGGCTGGGACCACTCTATGTATGAAGCTTGTCCTCACTGTGTTAGCACATGGTCACCGTGGGTGGAAGGGCCTGGCCATGCGTGCCTACAATCCCCACCACAGATGGCCACGTGATCGCTACTTGCAGTGAACCACAGCAGGCAGCAGCCCATTTTCACTCATAAGGTCCCTATCACCTTGCATGGTACATTGGTGCATGTCCATTATCTTGGGATCCTCTTCTTTGCAGAGTTGACCCTTGTTTCTTTAATGGCATACCCTGAGATGTACTGGGAGAAGGCATATTGTAGGAGAGATAGAACTTACCACCCTTTCCATGCATTCCACCACACTTCTCACCTCCTGTTCTGCTAGGTTGGGGCCCTGTGACTCATGCTGACCAATAGACTGAGACTGAGGCAGTTAGGGGTTGGTATTCCTCTTCCTTCCCTCTTTGCTGTAGTGACTTTGGAGGTCCAATGGCCCAGATGGCATGCAGAATGAGGAAGGGTCTCCCAACTAACATTGCACCTTATATGAGCAAGAAATAAACGTCCATTATATGAATCCCTTGAGATTCCAATGTTGTTATTGCTGGATAGACAGTGTCAGAATGTCAGAATTAACTGAGTGATTGCTATTCTTGAGTTCTTTCATGTGATGAAGGAAAAAAGCTATCTCTGGAGACAACCAAGGCAGTTAATTGATGCTTTCTCTCACTGTCATCATCCAGCACAGATGGCTCTTCCTGTTTGGTAACACCTCACATGAGCTCTTTTGCCCTCACCAACTCTGCCAGTCACCATCCTACACAGTCAAGTGTGCACAGTGTTAGAGGTTTGCCAAGAACACATCCTGGTGTTTGCCAATGAGTGTCTGCTGGAGGAAGAACATTCGAACAGAGAATGTTCAGAGGTGAAATGGATCACCTTGGGAGGCAGGAAACTTGTCCCTAAGGTGAGCAAATGGAGATTAAATGTCCATTGGGGATTTGGGGTATGAGGAATATGAAGATGGGCTGCCAGCCTTGAATGGGGAAGGGGTTGAACTGGGAGGGGCAGAATGGACCAGATGATTTTTAAGTCCTATCCAACCCTAAGAGTCCCCAGCATAGAGTCTAATATATATATATATATATATATTATTATAGGTATATATTATATATAATATATATTATATAATATATATATTTTTATATGTTATATACATATATGTGTTATATACATATGTATGTTATATACATATATACATATACATATATACATGCATATATATATATATGAAATATATATGAAAGTGAAGGAATGGGTACATTTTGGTCACTATTTAATGAAATAAAATAGCCTGGTTTAATGAGCCAATAAGTATTCTGTAACACTGACGTTATCCTTTCTTAAATGTATAATCTCATGAGATCAATGTTCTTAGTTCTCTTGAGGTTGACAAATGGTGATGAGTGGTCACAAGGCATGTGAAACCTATCTGTCTTTTACACGTCAACCACAGGGGAGGCTGAGCTGAGGGACGAGTCACAGCCTTGACACAGACTGAAGTCATCAAGATAACAGCCCTATAATAAGGACCCCAATGCTTTATCATGCACAGAGTATAGCCCCTAACATCCTGAGTGCTCGGAGATGACTATCTCTGAGCGTATCATCATACGTTATCATGCATCTCTGAATTTGTTATTGTAGCCTGAGGAGGAGAAGAGCTGCCATTCTTACTGTATAGACAGGCAGGGAGGTTTTCAGAGATTTTCTTCCCCTGAGATCACATAGCAAGTAAGGGAGAAGGCTGGGTCCAAGGCTTGAACCCAGATCCTTTGACTCAAAGCAACAGATTTTAAAATAGAAGAGGACATCTCCTCTTGACACCAGAGCTGGGACTGAAATCAGTTCAAAGTCTCCTTGGTTCCTGTGGAACGTCCACTTTCTGCGTGTGATATTGTGTGTGTGTGTGTGTCTGTGTCTGTGTCTGTGTGCCTGTGTGTCGGGGAGTGGTATTGCATAGAGAAGATAGCTCTGAACTGCTTCCAGGCAAGAAGGGTTTTCTTGGGAAAAGCAATGGACTGGGGGACAGAGTCCTGGAGTTCAGGCCCTGACTCATTGTCTGACCCACTTCATGTCCGTGGAATCTGTTTCCCCATCTGAAAATGGGAGGAAAGGTATTGATTCAGTTTGAAGAATTTCGGTGAGGACCCAATAAGAGGATGGGGTGAACATGTTTTGTAAACCCTATAAAAACCAAGGTTCTTGTTTCAAGTAGGAATGCTTTTGGCTGCAAGTAACAGGACAGCAGTGACAGTGGTTTTGACAGCTGGAGGTTTATTTGTCTCATGATGTAAGGAATCCAGGGTGGGTGGTACAGGGCAGGGCAGAAGGTGATGTAATAATACCATCGAGGGCCTGGCCTCTTTCTGTTTTTCTGCTCTAATTTCATCCCCATGAAGCAACCTTATGAACAAAGACGGGTACTGTACCTCCAGGCCTTGTGTTCAAGTTCTGGGCAGGAAAACGGAGGGAGGAGGCAGCTGAGTTGGTGCCTATATGAGGAATGTGAAAGTTTTCTTAGACATGCAGCAGCTCCTTGGCCAGAATTGTAAACAAATGGCCAGCCTCTAGCTACAGGGGGACTGGAGATATGAGCGTTCATGGCCAGGCACCCTACCACCCTAAACAAAACCATGGTTTTGATGGAAAAGAAGCAGAAGTTGGGATCCACAGAGGGCGGCGGCTGGCAGAGCCTGCCACAGCTCCTTGACTGAGATGGGCCTTGAGTCACAGAGATCTTTTAAATCCAGTTTCTGGATTGGAGTAAAAGCAAATCGGGTTGCCTCATCCTTTGAATAACATGTTAATCCACAATATCCTACTGTCAGGATGGGAAACAGAGGCAAGTTGAGGATGAGAGGAAGTTCACGCTGTGGCAGGCCTGGAAGGTCAAGCAGATTAGAGGTTCAGTTCTCTTTCTCTCTCCCTCTCTCTCTCATCTCTTCCCCCTCTGCCTTTCCCAGTTGTTCAGTTTCATTAGCCCCGTGCACTCGGGCTGGGAGAGCTGAATCTGAGGAGCTCATTTCTAGCCACCACTGTTTTTGTGTATGTCTCCACCCTAAGATGTCTAACCACAGACTTCCTCTTGACTTCTGGCAACAGAGAGGAAACAAAACCACAGTAGCTTTCATTGCTTAAAAACACAAAGCTGACTCCTTTGCCTAATAAGCCCAGATGCAGAAGCTTTGTTTCTGGGAGGAAATGCGAAAGACTGCAATCCAAGGTTGGGTATCAAATCCCCAGGTTCCCTAGGAGTTATCCAGTGGGAAGGAAGCCATAGCCCAGGGCTCAGGAGACAGCGAGGCAGGAGTCCTCATTACTGACCAACAGGCACAGTGGATCCACTCATGAACCTGAGGCCCTCACCTGGCCTCTGAAATGCCATGGCCTCTGTACCCAATCCTGGTTTCAAAGAGTCTGTGTATCGTTTTTCCTTTCTCTTATGTTCTACGTTATTAATTCCAGCCATTGATTAATTCCCATCATACTTTCTTTTTTGTTTGCTGGTTTTCTAATTTCTTATGATATGTATTCAGCTCTTTTATTTTTAGGCTTTCTTCTTTAATAATGAAAGCATTTCAGGCCATACATTTTCCCGAGTTGAGCTTTCCTCGTGATCCCATAGGTTTTGAAATAAAATGTTCCCCTTTTCATCTGTTTCTAGATGACTTTTAATTTCAGTTTTAATGTTTCCTTTGATCCATGGGTTATCTAGAAGTATGTTTATTAATTCCCAAGTAGTTAAGAATACTTTCAGCCATATTATTTTTTTTATTAAAATTTTTTGGATCGTAGAAATAGATTGTGGCCTGTAAAATCTCTAATTTTAAATTAAAAAAAAACACAAAACTTTTTTCTTTGTGCCCAAGTATGTGACCAAACTTTATAAATGTTCTCTGGGGAAAGGAATGTTCTCAGACTGATGCGGAAAAGAAGGGAGCTCCGAAGTGTCCTTGTTCTGGACACAAATTGCCCTTTTCAAATCTTGCTTCTGTCCTTTTCTAGCTGTGTGTCTGTCTATGGTTCAGTTTTCTCTGAGCTTCACTTTTTAATCTTTAAAATGCGAACAATAAAAATACCCACCTCTTAGCATTGCTGTGAAGATTGTATGAAATTGTGTACATAAGCATGCCTACAGTGGGCCTGCCACAGAGCAAGTACTCACTAAATAGAAATATTGCTATTTTTGTTATTATTATTTATTTATTTATTTATTTATTTATTTATTTATTTATTTATTTTGCAGAGAGAGAGGAACCTTTACTGTCTGTGCTCTAAGCAATATTCTTAACCCATAACTGTGGTTTCTGGTTTTGTGGAGGCTGGAAGAAAAGAGGAAAGGATGGCTCAATGCAGCCATCACTCTCCCTGTGAGGGGAGGCATCTGAAGTCCAGAGGAATAGGGCCACTTGCCCCAGGAAACACAGCAATTTGGTGGCAAAGCCAGGCTTGAAATCTAGGTCTAAAGTGGCCAGTCCCTCCCCCTCTGCCGGCAACCACTCTGGCTTCTCTCTTGAAAGAAGAGACTGAAGGTTAGCCTCTGTGATTTAAGGAGGGCTGGAGGCTCCGATGTGGTGGCAGCCTCTGAGCTTTGTCATGTTACACCTTCACCATGTGGGAAGGGTAACTCGGAGGTCAGTGAGTTCTGAAAGAAGCTACAGAAAGACGGCGGGGTTGGGGGTGGTCGGATGCGTTGGGCATTGCTGTTTCTCTGCTCAGTGGGGGCAAGCTGGACTTGACCTATCAAAGTGTTCTCCGAAGCATCCCAGGGGATGTCTGCACCCCTCTGGGTCTCAACCCTTCATGCCAGTCGGCCTTGGTTCCCTAGCCCTGGGACAGACCCCGGCAAAGGCAGGCCCTCCCAGGGACCACATCTTGGTCTCCCTGGCAGATCTTCTCTGGAGCACACATCAGGGGCAGAAGCCCCATGTTACTGATAGGGCATCTCAGTAGCATAGACACTCTCTAGGCCTGGAGTGACAGCCTGCGCAGAGGCCTAATTAAGAAGTAAGGCAAAGCGGGATGCGGTGCTGGCGGTGCCTGTCTGCCAACATCTGAGAAGGGCTGGCACTGTTCCCCAGGGCACAGAGAACTCTGAAGGCATGAACCTTTCTCTGTGGCCAGAGGCTGGGGAGGGGAGGGTGGCTGAGCTATCTGACTGGGGCCACGGATCTTGGGAAAATGAACCATTTCTTGACCAAGGATTCCTTGTACCCTTAAGCACCATGTAACCATGCTGTGTATGAAGCATGAGTGAACAAGGATGCCTGTAACAGACGTAGCAGCACATGGTTAAAGCACATGTGTAGATATGTCCAGACAGCAGGTCTCTGACCTCAGGCATGGGTACGTCCTGTGGGGTAGGCTGCCTTCAGGTCAGGCTTGGGATTAGAGGCTGATTCTCGTGGTTCCTCCATGAAAACATTTAAAAAACTTTATGGTCTCTTACGATTATTGTAAAAATTAAGTAAGTGGATGGGTGCAAAAGTGCTTTGTAAATATCAGCACAAATACAGAAGAAAGTTTCAGTGTGTAGAATTTGCTTGGAAAATGCTAGCTGCTTCCTTACTCTGCCCCCAGTCCTTAGTGAGAAGCTGCAGAAGAATCAAGTGGGGTTAAGTCTTACTCCCTCTCATGGAGATTGTGGGCTTTCTCCATGTGAAATGCTTTGTAAGCATCATTCTTCCCTCCCTGTTCCTTCCAACACACCTTAATTAAGCACCTATTATAAGCCAAGTTCTGGGCTAAGAGCTGAATGACAAAGCAACCACTATCTACTAGGGGAAGAGACATGAGCAAATGGGCAGGTACGAAGCCCAGTGTGAAGCCAGGGACTGTCACAGAGAAACGAGGGGTCCAAACAGCACAAGGAAGGAGGCAATGAGAAACAAGCCTGGGAAAGCTCCTGGAATGCTTTGGACAGAAGGGGACACCTGAGGCAGACCTTGAAGGAGCAAGAACAAGGAACAGAATCCTCTCGGGGGGAACCGGGAGGAGGAACAGCAGGCACAAAGGCGTGGACGTGTGGAACCTGCCCACATGAGGGCATCAGTGAACCATGGCAGCCGAAATTCAAAATTGTGATCCCAGGTTGCAGATGGGAAGCTTTATTGGAGCTCAGAAAAGTTGATGGCCCTGAACGGAAGGAATACACACGTTTAAATAAACGCATGGTGGTGTCCACACGGAGCAGGGTCAAGGTCAGAGGGGGTGGGGCCCAGAGCTGTGAGCGCTCTTCTGCAAGGCCCAAGTCTTCAGTTTGCCTGTTCGGTAGTGGCCATAGTGGGAAAAGAATGCGATTTGAAGCAGACGGTCTGGCTTCTAATTCAGGCCTTGGCCCTTCCTCGCTCTGTGAACTTGGGTCACTATGAACCTTTCTCAGCCTCAGTTTCATCACCTCTAAAATAGGAACTGGTGATCTGAGCATTCTCTTGGAGATCTATGTCCTTGGTGTGGAGCAGTAGTCAGCGGGTGGGATAGGTGGGTGGATAGAGGGCCAGTTTATATTCCCTGGGGAGACCCAGGGAATAAGTTGTGATTCAGACCTGTAAGGTCCACACTGCAGTAGAAAGTCAAGAAAGCCGCCAAACGCAGTCCGGTCTGGGTTATAATAGGCTAAGCAAGGCCAGGAGATATGGGAGCCCAGGGGACAGCACTTTGCCTAGCCTGGGAAGTCAGTGCTTTCCTGGAAGTACTGTGTGCAGACTAGGAGATGTCCTGAAAGACAAGTGGAAGTTAGCACGGCAAAGAAGGAAGCAAAGGGAACTCTAGGCAGAGGAAACAGAATGGGCAAAGGCATGGAAGTGAAAGCCAAGAGCAGTTCTATTCCACTAAGACACAAAATCTTAAATGGGGAGTGAGAAGACTGTGGGAAGTAGACAGAGAACTTGAACACTGTGTTAGGGAAATTGGACTGTATCCCATATACAGCAAGGAGCCATTTAAGATTTAGAAGCACAAGAGATAGTATTACCCAGGCTCTGCCACCAGTATGGTAATTGTGAGTGGGCCAAGGGAGGCAGGTTGCAGAGTCCTAGATGCCAACACGAAAGGCACTTGTCTGAGATCAAGCCCATCACACAGCAAGTCTGGAGTGCCACTGAGCTTCCAGGGACAGGGAGCAGGCCACCTTCCCCACGCAGCTCTCCTTCTGTCCAGAATGGATGGGCCCAGAGCTGCGAGAACTCTCCTGCAGGGCCAAGGTCTGTGGGATCTCCTCCAGCGTTGGTGGTCTTGATGGAGCTGCTCTTGCAGGGTCCTGTTCCGCCTCAGCACGTTCCAAGGGACAGCTTATTCTCAAGCAAACCGATTATCTGTGGGAAGGATATGGCGGTATCTTCAGGTTCACAAGATCCAAGGGTGAGAAATTCAGCCCCGCCTCTGAGGAACTAGAATCAGGAACTGCAAAGTCATGCCTGTGGCTTCTCCCCTCTCGCAGCTTCTCCTCCTCATTCTTCTATCTTCGGGTCAGTTCTCTCTGTGAGAGGGAGCGCACAGCTGCCCTGGCTCCTACGTCTTACCACCAAATGTGAATCTCCACCCTGGTGCGAACCTCTGGGGGGAAGAGTCTGGTTAGCTAAGCCCACGCATCAGATTAGCAGCCCCAGGGCTGTTGCTAAGAAAGGGGGTGTCTCCTATAGAGCATAGCTCTAGAGCCCACCCTGTGGGTATGTTGGGGGGGTGGTTCTTGTGGGAGGGGTGCCGGCCATGGATTGACCTTCAAGGGCTGACTAGTCTGTACCCATAGGCCCTGACCCTAGGGGAGCAGGGACAGTCAAAGAGCTTCCGGGTGAGCTTGCCCTCAAGATGCGCAGTAGCCAGAATCCACAGGGGCCTCCTTACCTCTTCAGGAAAGGAGACAGACAGGGAAAGTAAAACTCAGGGAAACCCACATGTATGCTATTGTGGACAGGGAACTCAGGAGGCTGAGGGTCTTGTCTTTGGGTGCTAAGTAGGGGCATTGGGGGAGGGGCTAGGCCACTCTGCTGCAGGCCTGGAGGGCAGCTTCAGAGCCGAGCGACCGACTGGGAGATGACAGCTCTTGGAGGGAACAGCTGAGTCACAGGGGCTGGAGGCCAAAACTTCTCGGGTGGGTCTGTGGTGTTTCTTTGTTCCAGATTCCCCTCAGACTTCATACAGCACCAGCTTGAGGAACCAGGAGCCATTCCAAATGTGAAGGAAACTTCCTTGTCTCCCTTCTCACGTGTTGCCAGAATCTGGGCTTCCCAGGGGTTCTCATAAACCCAGGAGGCTCTGCAATCATTTTCATATAGAACTGTTTCCCTGAAGAGCGAAAGAGGCCAGCTGTAGTTGATGGAACAGAACACAGCATCGGCTGCTGGGGAATGAACACAGGTTCTAACCCCTGACTGTGGCAGCCCGCCCTCCAGGAGAGAGGGGGTGTCCCCCAGGAGGAGGGGTGTTGCAAAGTGGTTAAGCATGAGGGCCTCTGAACCACCCAGTTCAACTCCAGCCAATGTTACCGACCAGTCGAGATCTCAAGCAAATTACTTAAATCTTGCCACGTCTCCGTTTTCTCACCTGTAAAATGGGACTAATGGCAGCTCAGAGAGGTTGTGGCCTCAAGGTTTCATGGAGAAAGCGCTCAGCATGGTGTCTGCAATAGTATTAACAGTTTCAGTCATTACTGTCCCTGCTTTGGCCCACAGTGCAGGGTCTCAGCCTCATCCCTTGCAGTTTATTTGTTGGTTTTCACTGGACAATTATAGTGCATTGATAAGCTTAGCCATCCCACCTCCCCAGTGTTTTCTGAACTCCCCTCACAGGTCGCCACCTCTGGGATTTAACTTGGGCTCTTTCCTCCTCTGTGAACACTCCTTTTTCGAGCTGCCAGGCCAAGACCTCGTCTTTCCTCAGGGTGTAGCTCAGATCCGTCCTCCTTCATTATATCTTGAGGTCTCCCTGAGAAGGAATGCCCCCTCCGTCCCCTATCCCCAAGGCTCAGAATTCCAGTGCAGCTCTGTGAGAGAGAGGCAGCCTCATGCAATGCATAACAGTGCAGCTCTAGGTTGCCAGTTCAATGCACATCTCTAGCTGTGTGACCTTGGCTTGTCTTGCCTCAGTTTCCTTGTGTGTCAAATGGCGATAAAGAGCACTTTCGTCATATGACTGTTGTGAGAAGAAACAAACTGATACACATATAGATCAGACAACACCGTCTTGCACCTAAGAAGGGCTCACTAAAGGCTGGATATTTCTATAAAATAATCTTCAAAAACATGACTTTTACTGGTTGTGTAGCCTTCTATTGTACGGGTAGGTCGTAATTTATTTAACCAGCCCCTTGTTGTTGGCCGTTTAGGCTGTTTCCAACTTTTCATTATTATAAATAATGCTGCAGTGAACATCTTGTACATAAATCTTTCTGTTTATCTTTGATTTCTTCCTTAGAAGAACTCTCCAAATCTTGCTTGTCTTAGAACAAAGTCCTGTCCCCCAAACTGTTCGGTGAAGCCCTTTGAAATAAAAGTAAAACCTATTTTCTGTCGGAGCAAAAAAAAAAAGCCATATGGAACATGTTAACCAAGAGGTGGTTCAGGAGGAAAGTAGAAATCGGTTCAAGGTGAGTTTGGATCCATTTCAGGATGTCTGACACAGAGTCAGTTATAAAGCTCCCTTCGAGCCCCCTTCCCTGAGCAGAAGCAGAACTTGATCCTCAGGGACCACTGATTTTTCTCTTTCAGGGAATTCCAAGAGGCTTTGATGTTCTTGGCGTTGGAGAAGCAACAATGACAGATCAATAAATGAAGCCAGAGTATGTGGACAAGACAGAACTCCTCAAGCCAGTAGGGGGCGATATCGCCTGTCTCTGTGAGCCAGTTGGGCCTGAGTGGGTTTCTTGCTAACAAGGACTTCCTCTGTTGTCGTCTTTAAACTTTGGCTTACATTTTATATATTTCTCCTGTGTGTTTTTCTTCCCTTCCTCCCACCTTTTTACCTTTCAGATTCACTTTGGGTTGCCATTTATTCATCCGTTCACTTAGGAGCAACCGATTGATTGCCTGCTTCCCCTAGGTCAGGCATGAAGACTGTTTTCAGGCTTTCTAAGACCTAGCACACTTGCTTTGGAAGCACCACCTCACACATATTAAACGCATTGAAATTCACCCATATTCCATATTGAGTATATTTTTTCTGTTAAAAAAAGGATTGTTTTTATAACTTTGCTTTTGAAATTATTTGGCTGCAAGTAAGTAATTCATTCGATTTATGGCTGGCTTTGATTTCTCGGCAATTATGGGGGGTATTCAAGAATTCTTGCAAAGTGAGAAAACCTAACCTGCACATCGTTTTCAAAAATAATAAAATTTTTATGAATTTTTATGAATTCTAAATGAAACCATTAATGAGGTTGATGTAATATTTTGTTTTGCAGAGGTTTCATTAAAATTTTATTAATTTCTTTAGCAAAGTTTTCCCTTCATGTTTTGGGTTCAGTCATTTTGTTTTCAAACGTTTTCAGGAATCTCTGAAAAGTTCTCAGGCCCCATCATTCCTAGTGGCTGACAGAGCCCTGTCAGGCTCGGAGATGGAAGACTGAATGCGGTTTTTACAGAGCTCCCAGGCCACTGAGTGACAGATGGGCAAACTACTGTCACAAAAGAGTAAGTACTGCTATAATGGAGTGTAATCAGAGCACAGTGAAAGTATCATCTCCCCTAAGTCTACTTGGGGCCAGAGGGGGACAATAAAGATTTTAGTGAACAGACACTGCCCAAGCCAGAACATGAATGGTGAACAGTTTTCTCAGCAGGTACGGAGGGAAGGGCGTTATGGCAGAGGAAAGAGCACCTGCAAAGGGGCTGGCCCAGAAAAGAAACTTCCAGTTCACAAGCTGACTGACCACTCGATTCTGCCCCATGCTGCTCTCTAGGCCCTGGTTTCTCAGGCCAGCAGCACTGATATCACCTGGGAGTTTGTCAGAAATGCGGAGTTTCAGGCCTCCCAGACCTCCTGAATCAGAACCTTCATTTTAACAGGCCCCCGGTGATTCACATGCATGCCAAGGTCTGAGAGGCAGGCTGTAGTTCCAGCTGAAGCAGAGAGAGGCCTCCTGTGGGAGTTGGGGGGTGTGGGAGGTGGGAGGGTCTAGGAGGTGGTCAGCCTGTGGCACTGCTGCCTGAGTTGATCTGCAAGTTGTTTTCAAGTTTGGCCTAAAAGTTCATCTCTGGGGGCCCGGACAGCTCAACGGGGGCTTTTCCGTTTAGAGACAGTTCCGTCCACTGGACCCACTCTGTCCCTTCCGCTGGCCTTCGCTCCAGACAGCCTGTCTTGCCTGCTGGCTCCCTGACCCAGCGCATCACCGATTACCTAATAGGCTGTAGGCTGTGTGCATAATTTATTTTTGTGAGTAATTGATCACGTTAGGATGAGCAAGTACCAGGAAGACATGGGAGAAGAGGCATCAATAACCAGGGGAAGGAAACATGCTACAACGAGCTAATTAGATGTCTCTCTGAGGCAGATCGGTCCACATAATGGTCCATCTTGCTGTTGTTGGCTGACCACACCCTCCCCTCCCTACTCCCCCTACCCCCTCGCCCCCCGCAGTGTGGCTGGGCTTTCTGATGAGTGGAGGTTAATGGAAAGAGTTCTAGACTGAGTCAGAAAGCTTGGCTCCTAGGCCAGGTGATCTTAGGCAAATCGCTTCTCTCTGGGTCTCAGTTTTATCAACTGTAAAACGGGGGAGGGGCTGGATCAGTGGTTTCCAAACATGGCTGATATTAGAATCATCAGAGATACTTTTAAAAATATAGATTCCAAGGTGTTGTCTCCCTAATGCTGATGGAGTAGGTATAAACTGAGGCCAGGAATCCATGTTGTAACAAGTGCCTCATGTAACTGGCACGGCTGGTCAGATGGGCAATTGGGAACCACTGGGTTGGAAAGATAACCTCAGCGCTCCTGTCCAGCTTGGACATTTTCAGATTGTCGATAAGGATGGATTTTCCCATAACGTCTTGCAGAGCGTCAGCACAGTCCTGTTGGAAAAAAGACAAGAGAGGCAGAAGACCTGTTTTCTATTCCTGGCTCTGTCGCTGATTCATGACCTAATAACAGTTTTTCCCTGAGTCACTTAACCTACCAGTACATGTGCTGACAATGTCACAGGGCTTTTATAGGAGCACATTGTGACAGTGTGCCTAGGGAGATTTGTGAAATACAGCTGGCTGGTTCCCATCCACTCAGAGATTCTGCTTCCATACATCTGGGGTTGCTCAGGATGGTTTAAAGGCTGCCAGGTGATTGCTAAGATGAGCCAGGTTTGTAAGCCAGTGACCTGTCCAAAGGCATTGCTGAATGGGACAACTGTGCGCCATGGGACTGGGCAGTGTCCAGTTCTGGGAGGCCACTGCCATGTTGGCAGCAACCATGGATTTCACAGAGACCCAGGCAGATCCTCACTCACCTTGTGGCCTCCAAGTGAGTCTAGACGCATTCTGTGAGTGGAGCACTCTACAGGGTTTCACCAGACGCACAGAAGACCTCTGTTCAAACCTGGGCCTCTTGCGAACAGGGTAACCTCAGGCAACTCACAGGAGCAGCATGAGTCTGTTTCTTTGTCTATAAAATGGGGTCAACAGTAAATCCATCCTCCCAGCTTACTTGGGAGGATTAAATGAAATAACTTGGAGCCTATGCTCTTGAGTGGTCATGCTCTGTGCAAATTGTCCACCCTCTCCCAGCTGCCGTCCAGCCACCTGCACTAGGACCAGTGGGAACCAGCCTGGCTCAATGTTAACATCTCTCACTGCAATGAAAGCAGGGCTTGGAGAGGGTCTACCCAGAGGGCCACAGGGCCAGCAAGGCAACAGACCCCCAGCTTTCAGTTCAGCAGTTCAGGCGGTCATTTCTGGAATTATTCCACTCTGCACAGCCAGCTGCCTTGTCCAGAACGTTCATGTTTTCACTAATCTTTTGGAGCCTTGCTTGATTCCCGATGTGGTCAGCAGGGGCTGGCATGCTGGCTAACCAGTGAGACTGAAACCAATTCCCGTGAGGCTGAAATCTCTTGCATCTGACACTTTCTCTCTTCCTTTTTCTCATCACTCTAATCCCAGGTACTTTCAAGATACCGCCATTGCCCTCTGCAGATGTGTTCTCCTTGTAGCAGCCAGAGGGGTCCTCTTAAGATATAAATCAGATCATGCCATTAGTTTTGACTGGCTTCCCGTTCTTATTGAATAAAATTGAAATAGGTGTATAAAGAACACCCTGGAATGCCTTCTCATTCTCTTCGCATGAACCTCTTACACTTCTTCCCCTGGTTTATGTGGCCCCCTGCAACATGACCATGTATTTCTCACCTCATGCCATGCTACCTACCCTTACTCCTATGTGAGGCTGAAACATTGCTCTGTGTTCTCCTAACCTGCTCCCTGTGCTCCTTTGTCCATAGCTGAACTCCACCTCCCAGCTCCTCTGCAGGTAAGCAGGACCATCTATGTGAATTCCAGTCAATGAAAAATGAGTGGAAGTGATGTACACCACCTCCAAATATCCCAGAAGCTTTTTCTCTTCGCTCTTGGCTGAATGCAGAGGGTAGAATGGACAACCCCAAGCAGATCTTAGGGGATGGTGAATTAGAAGGAGCTTGGATTTTGAATAACCGAGTGAAAGACCACCCACCAAACACCTGACTGGCTTTGACAAGAAAGAGGAATAAACTTTTATTGTCTGCAGTCACTGAGATGTGGGGTAGAGTGCTCTCGCAGCGAGAATGACTTACCCTCATGGATGACCTGTTCTTAGTTCCGGGAATAGGTTAAGGTGCATCCATCCTACTTCTCCCATGCTGTTCCCTCTGCTTGGAATGCTTTTCCCAATCATCCCTCACATGCTTATCTCTTTAGCTTTTAGGTCTTCATTTAAAGGTCACCACCCAACTGTTAGACTATATCTATGTTCTTATCTATTTTTATAACACCTTTTACAACATGTGTATGTGTGTGTGCTTATAATTTGGTTTTTTTCTCATTGCGTTTCCCCTAAAATGTAAGCCCCCAAGGGCATGAATCAAATCTGTCTCAGTCCCCTTTGTATATCCTGTGCCAAACAAGGTGTCTGACAAATGTAATCATTTAACAACTATTAGCTGATGGATTAAATGAATAAAAGAACCAATTATGTATGATTCAGCTCAGTTCACTTCAAATATTTATTGGGCACCAACTTTGTGCAAGGCACTTCACACACACAAAACGCATTCGCTACTCAATTCTCATTAAAACCCTAGTGCAGAGGTAAGATTATTATCCCCACTTTAGAGTGCTTACAACCATAACACAGATTCATTCCACATGGCACTCTCCAATCACTATCATATTCCTGAAAGGTAGGTTCTGTACTATTATCTCCAATTTACAAAAGGAAAAATCCATGGTCAGACAGACCAAGTCAATTTTGCAAGGTCATGCAGCTAATCATGAAGCTGGGATTTAAACCCAGGCGCAGGGGGAGGAAATGGGGACACACCTCTCTCACAGTGAGTGCTACTCTTCCTAAACTCTGACAGCCTCATTAGAAATCCCAAAAGGATATCCTGAGCGTGGGTAGAAATGAAGACATGGAATTTCTCCAGAGTCCTATGAGCTTGGTTTGCAGTGAGATTTCATTTTAGTGCAGGACCCATTCTCCTCCATGATGCCAGGGATGGGGGGGTGCCATTTTGCACCCTGGGACTGCAGTTTCCAGGGGGCGGCTGGGCCAGGCTGGGCTGGCCACCACCATGAACTGGCTACATGAGTGCGCAGGTTCATTTGGGGAGAGCAGCCGGAGCTGTTGATAGGCAGAGAAAATCTGTGATTAATTATGGCAGATGAAAGTATGAAGTAATGAATCCTGTTTGAGGTCTGGGCGAGCTGAAGAGCCTTGCTCTCTGAATGTATTTGGAGACTGCACAGCCCCTTTTGAAACCAGCAATAAACTTTAATGGCTGCAAATTCTACGGCTTGGCGGGCTGCGGATTGGAGGGCGCAGAGAACTCATGAATTCTCTGGGGTGGGAGCTAATTAGGGTGCAATTTTTCAATTACGGAACATTGAACGGGCTTCTCCCAAGTCCCCCCACACCACCCCTCAGTGGATTCACTCCATTTGTCTCTTTTCCTTTATTTCTTAATCATTTGATGATATGACAGCAATTATTTGTCATTTGGAAGAGAAAATCGTCATGGAGCTATTGTTTCTGTCTTGGAACCCCAGCTCTTCTGTGGTGATGGTTACATTTGATAAATGTTTTGCATTCCCGCTGCCCCTCCCCCACTCCCACCCGGGTTGGTGTGGCAACAAGAAAACATTCGCCTGTGACGCCTGTGACGCCTGGGACACAGGCCTGCTCTGATTGAAACGCCATTTGTAAAAAGGCATGGAAAAGAGCAGGATCGAGTTTAAAAGAGCCGCAGCCCAGAGCTCTGGGCCCACCCACATCACTCAGGTTGAGGCTGTGGGACATTTGCTTTGGGAAATTTGGTCATTTCTCTGAGCTAATAAGCCAGCCTCAGAATCAGGAATGCAAAACAGAAATGGAGCAAAAAGAAAAAAGGCAAAGAAAAAAAGCAGCACTCCACCAGAAATGGGAAAACTTAAATGACTTTGTTTAAATGTCATCGTACTCTCAAAGCCCTGTTCTCATATGTATGCTAGTTAATTAAATGGAAAAATGTCAAATTAGTTGTTTAAAATATTAATGGCAGAAATTATCCCAGATTCTAGAGCAGGCAGAGTAGAGGAAAGGAAACTTTTAGGGCTTAACCCTTTTCTTGGTCATCCTTCTCTTTCAAAATAGATCTTTCTTTCATCCGTGAAAGGCTCAGCGACTGCTGAAGGGTTTTGTAGGTTTCCGAACCAGAGTTTTCCAGTGGGTTTGCAACCTGCGATTCTCTTTGTGACACAGGACTCACTCGTGGCATTTATTTCCGCAGCATTGGCTTTGCGGGGGGGGGGGGGATTGGGAGAGGGAGGGATTTGAAGTCCCAGGAATATGAATATGTCCCAGTGGCCTGTTCTGGAGTCTGGGTAATTTGCCATTTTTTTCGCTTGGTTTTTGAAGGGTATTTTGGTTTAAAGAGCCCATTAAAATGCAAAATAGGAAATGATTGCACAAAAAGGGGTGACAATAGTTCTACTCACCAAATGTTTATTCAGCACCAATGGGGTCCAAAGCCTGTGCTGAACAAAATGGTGGGAAAAGTGGGGACCCACAGATTCCAGGGTAGGGAGAGGCCTCCTCTAGCCTCATGTTAGCATGTGGGGAAACTAAAACCCCCAGAAAACACGAAATGTTCCCAAAGCCACAGAGCTGTTGAGTGGTGAGCCAGGCTCATTCACTCATGCGACACAGTTCCTGCCCGCCTCCCCCAGGGACTTCCATATATTAGGGGATGACAGGGGACACAGACACAACACAGTGCATACTGCACAGCCGAGGGTGGAAAGCAGGCTATGGGTATCAGGGAGCCCTTACCTTCATCAGCCAAAGACCACTTACTGTCTGCCATGGCGGCCAGCTATGTAAGGTATAGTTGCTCTCTGTCCTGGCAAAGGCAAGCAGGCAAGGAAGGCAAATACTGTTTAATGAGATGTTATGGCTAGTCACTGCATAGACACTCTCAAAGTTATCTCATATGATTCCCTCGTCAGTTCAGCCCAGGCAGATAGATGTGAGCTCTGTTTTATAAATTAGGAAAGTAGGAAACTGCCAAGCAAAGAAAGTGGCTGAGCTGAACCTGCCAGCATTTGTAATCCTAGAGTAGCCAATGGGGTATCTGTTTACCAATAACTGCAGATTAGCAACAGAAATGACAAATAATAGGGTTAGGGCCCAATTTCAAAAAACGGTATCCTCAGAAGGAGGGCAGAGATATTCTGAGACACTCTATGGGGAAAATAAATCCAAATACTTTGGGGAAACCCTATAAACGTTTATACTTTTTTGTATCAATCTGTGTGGTAAGCTGAATCACGGACCCCAAATCCATCCACATCCTAATCGCCGGCACCTGAGAATGTTATCTTATTTGGCAAAAAGTACTTTGCAAATGTGATTAAGGTAAGCATTATGAGATGGGAAAATTATCCTGGATTCAAGTCAGATGGACCCAATGTAATCACAAGCATCCTTATAAGAAGGAGGCAGGGGGGTCAAAGTGATGAGTAGGAGATGTCATAACAGAAGCAGAAAATGGAGTGATGTACTTTGAAAGTGGAGAGGAGGGGCCATGAGCCAAGGAACACAGGCGACCACTAGAAGCTGAAAAATACAAGGCTATGGGTTTTCCTCCGGACCCTCCAGAAGAAACCAGCCCTGTCAACACCTTGACTTCAACCCAGTGAGACTAATTTTGGGCTTTTGACTTCCAGAACTGTAAGAGAATACATGTGTGTTGCTTAAAGCCACTCAGTTTGTGGTAATTTGTCACAGTAACAATAAGAAATGAATGCAGTCAGTCATTGCTAAGCAACAAATCATTTCAATGCTGCTTTTTCATTCCTGGGCCTAGGGGTTGGCTGTGGCAGCTCTGCCTCAGGTTATAGGTTGGTTTTATGTCTCTCCACCTGCTACATTCTGGGACACTGGCTGCTAAGGGTGTGCCCTTTTCATGGCAATGGCAAAAATGGGAGAGAAAACTAGCAGATGCTTGCTGTGCCTGTTATTTCAGCTCTGAGACATGGCACTTCTGCCCACCTTCCATTGGACAAGGTAAGTCACATGGCCGAGCTGAAGGTTAGTGGGAACTCGAAATATATGCCCCTTGTCTAGTGGAAGGCACCAAAGAGTCACACAGCAAAGGGCAGAGAGAGATGGTTCTAACATTATGGAGGGGTAGTAAAAGTTGGGGCTTTGCCACACTTTTCTTGAAGATTCATAATGCACATTGATGTGCCGAGAGCTCTGTGAAGTCCTGTAGTAAATAAGCCTGTTTAACTCTGTTAATAACGTGTTCCTCAAACTTCTTTGAGTACAGAGTCCTACTATTATCCTACAGCATTAATATTTTGAGACAGGCTCATGTAGACAGTTTATCTTCAGAAGTTTAAGGAAGGAGAAGGCAATGGACTTGCCTGGGCCATGAAAAATGGATTCAACTAAGCAGATGATAGGCTTTTACCAACGGTACATGAAACAGAAAAGTTTTCATATGAGTTAAAGTCCCTTTACTCAAGGGGCTCTTTCAGGAGAATCTCATCAAATACTCCCATCAACTATTCCTCATGGGCAAGATGAACCCATATGACACCTGTGTTGTCTGAAAGAGCAAACACAACTGTCTTGGAGACTTGTCGTCAGTGGCCCAAAGGCCTATTGGAAATCCCCCAAAAGGCAGGCACTCACCTGTCATCCGAGCACTGGAGCATATTCTGTCAGCTGGCCTTCCTGCACACACGCGTGGATTGGGAAATGCTGCTGGATTGGAAACTGATAGACAGATAGTAGGTGGACCAGGCTTCCCATGAGAGTGATCATCTCGGGCCCCCTAATAGAAGCTCCCCTAGATGGAGATGGGAACTCTTTCCCCCTTTCTATGGGGACCTCGCTGAGGAACAGGAGACAGAGCAGAAAGCAAGCTCCTCCGCCTAGGTGCTGTCAACCCCAACAGAGCAGCTAAGAGGCATCTCACGCTGAGTCTAGGAGGGGCCCAGAGTAATGGAGTGAGATGCTGGCACATGCAGGGGCCTCCACTGCTCTGAGAAACAGGCAGAAGGAGGACCCACTGTCACTGCACCCCGCCTGCCGCCCTTCTCCTGAGGTACTCTCCTGAGGTACCGTGCCTGGGGAGGAGGGCTGGCCACTCAGGAGATGGTGACTTATTTGACACACTTAATTAGCCTATTTCCATGTAACACATTTTAACAGAGGCAATTACAGCCTAATAAAAGGAAACAATAGTGCCATAAATCCCAGGATCAATAGAGGGAAGCAGCGAGGCTGGGAGGGCTTCCTCTGAAAGACTCAGAGGGGCTTCAAGAATGAAATTCCCCTTGAAATTGAAGGACAAGGGGAAAGACTATTTGCCAGCTCGCTCACTCACTCACTCATTGAATGCGTATTTAGAGAGCACAGACCATGGGCCAGGCTCTGCCTTATATCCCCAGGCGACAGACAGTAAACAC